ATCCTAACAAAGAATTGCCTATTTAACTAACTTGCTAAAATGTAAAGGACACAACAATGAGTGCTAAAAAACAGTGAGTAGGAATATTTATCTGGGGAACTCTCAAAAAAGGTAACAGAAGGAGCAAAAAGAAAAATAATATTTTCTAAACACTAAAAGTTTGGGAGACTACATAGAGACTATAATATTTGAATAATGGGAATTCCTGAAGAGAAACGGTGGATGATAGAATAAAGAGACATTCTCCATTTTGCAAGAAGAACGACACATCTTAGCTTGGAAAAAATCTCAACAGGAGCAAGCAAGAGATGTAAGCAGAAAATGGATCTAGAACACAAATAGAGAAGTATTCTAAAAACTTCTAGAAAGAAGGAACAAAAGTCAAGTGGCATTGCACTTCTCAACAATAACACTGGGCTCAAGATACTAAAGTGACCTATTTGAAGAGTTAAGGAAACAGCACTCCAAATTGTCCTTCAAGCACAGAGGCCTAACAAATAAATATGTCCTCAGTTAGCCAAAGTCCCAACAAAAATATAATTGGAGGAAGTAGTGCAATGAAAAGAGAAATAAATTCAGGAAGATGTTAGTACTAGGTACAGGAAAAATAAAGTGTGACTAAGTACTTTGGTAAATGTACTATTGTCTGTGGAAAAGCTCAGCACAAAATCAGGAGAAAGTATAACTACAACATTCTTGACTAAAAATCTAACTGTATCTCCATGGAGAGGAGGTGGGTAGGAGGTGTATCTTAGAGCAAAGATACAGTGATTGACAATGTTCTGGAAACAATTTAGGATAAATAAGCATAATTTCTGGTCTTTAGGGTGACCACAAGAAAAAAATAGAATACATAATATAACCAGAAGAAAAGTTAATCTAAACAGAAAGCAGGGAAGGATTTTAAAAAAATGAAATGAAAATATGCAGTAAGTTGTCTAAAATAAATACAAATACGTTAGTCATTACAATATATTCAAATGGGTTAAATTATCCACTAAAAAGACATAAAGGGGCTGAATAAAAAATGATTTGATAATATGTGTCCTACAAAAGTTGCCCACTAAACACAACGGTCACAAAAGTTGGAAGTGCATGGTTAGAATACAATATACTGCACAGATAGGAATCAAGAGAAAGTTTATGCAACATTAATATCTGAACAATTAATTGGGAAAGATGTTCTTTGTGAAAAAAATATAACAGGTCTCTGTTATATTTGGGGGGAATTGGAGGTAATTTGGGTGTCCGTGCTGGAGACTAAAATGTGGTTAGTGGTCCTCCTTGGTGGTACAAGAGGTTAAGTCTCAGCACTATGAAGCTATCCACAGCCTCTGCAGCACAAGTTTCATCCCCCGGCCCACCAGGGAGCTATCCACATGGAGCAGCAGACCTCTCCTGTCTCCCCGCTGCTCCCCTCAGCAGTGTATTTCAATCAACCTGGCTGTTCTGTTTCCCATTCTATCTCTGGTGAATCCTCTCACACACACACACCCCCACACACACACCCCTCTGGCCTACACCCCAGATATTGTATGCATAAATAAATAAATCTTTTAAAAAATAAAATAAAAAGGTGATTGGCGATAGAAGGAGCTGTGAAGAGGTTAGAAGCAGCATATTAAATGCACGATAACGCATGTTATCGTGCGATAAGCAAGAGAAAGCAACATTTACTCAAGTTTAAGCTAAATACACACAAAAGGAAAATACCTGCCTTGCAAAAACAAATGCAAATAACAATGGTTGCAGAGGTGGGGCGGGGAAGGAAGATGGGATAGAAAAATAAATAATGATAATATCACAAAGTTCATCTCTGTGGCCACATGGCCTGTGGTTACAGGGGAGTTAACAAAGACTTCAGGGTCAAGCAGACCCGGATTTGATCTTATCTTTGTCAGATCCTGCCTGGGTGACCCAGAATTTTTCCAGACCCTGACCCCAAAGAGTGGGCTGTTGCGCTCTCCAGAGAAAGAGCTCACCCCCCAGAGTGCCGGTGTAGCTGAACAGGGCAAGGCTTTACCAGAGACTCACGTGTGAGGGAGCCAGTGATGGAAATGAGAATTTAGCGTGGTTCCAGGAAGGGAGTTAGGAGGAGATATTTAAAGGGTAGATCCATGAGTTGGGGGTGGGGGCAGTCAGGGAGCAGGGTCATGGCTGGTTCTGAGCCTGGCAATGCCCGGGCATGCACAGAAAGCTTCCATTCCTCTGTCAGCGCTGAGGGTCTCAACCATCTTCCAGGAAATTGTGAACTAATCACTAGCCAAGACCTAATACTTCACCTACTATAGTGCCTCGGGGTCAGTGGGATGGTGAAACTGTTTGGACAGGACTCACCAGCCCATGATCTAATGCACCTGTTCAAACAGGGCTTTTGCATTTGACTTCCTTCATGTAGCATAATTTTGACATGGGGTTGTCCTTCCAGAAGGGTCTCGAGGGTGTTATATGTGATGTAACTTAGCAAAGTGAATCACCGCATACACCCCCGCCATAGTGATCGGCTGGCAAATGAGCACAAAATTCACATCAGGCAATTCTTGGCCACGAGGACTTAATTTTGAAAGATGCTCTGGCTTCGTCTGTCTTTCCTAGTGAGGTGAGCACTGGAGCTGTTATACTTGTCTTGAACTAGATGGGGTTTCATCAGGAAGCTAATTTCAAAATGTAGAGAGAGAACCCACTCCATCCTGGTGATGATGCTGAGTCTTTGGTCAAGTAGCACCTGAAGTTCAAATGTGTTCGCGGACGGTGGAGTAACATCACCAACACGTTCTCCCTTCGACTTGAGACGCCTTGGCTGTCAGCTGTGGCCAAAAGCACACTCACTATTCCAGGTACCACACCCCCGCCCACCCCACCCCCATCTGCTCCCTGGACCCCTCCTGGCTTTCTATTTCCATCATAGCACTGCTCACCTTATCATATTCCCTTATCATTTACCCGATTGTTTTTCTACCTCCACTACGTGTGCTCCCTAGGGCAAGGGGTTTGATGTGCTTTATTCGCAGACAAATTCCTAAATTCCCTTAAAATGAGTGCTTGGCACACAGCAAGCGTTACATAAAATGTTGCTGGATGATATCCCCACTCAGGGAATTACTAAGGATTTCCAGAGTAGACTCCAAGGAGAACCAGCACAGGCCCAGAGTTACCTGACCTCAGCCTCCTGATAGTTCAACCGGCTGCTTGGCCTGCTGGGGAACGCCATGAAGTTTGCAGTAAATGTGAGAACATGTATTCTTGGCATTTTGGCGATTTTAAGGAGGGTATTTCATCATCGTTACGTCACCAAGATTGTTTTAACTTGGGGATGCTTTTTGGTTGGAACTATTTCTAAGCATTGTTGACCTATTTTTAATATAGATGACAGGTTCTATTTTGTTGTGTTGGCACAGCTACAGCTTGTTTGTATTTATTTGTTCCTGTCTAGTGCTCTGCGATCATGTTTTCTCTGGGGGCGTAAGAGAGCAGGAGCAGTCAGAAGAGCCAGGTGTCGTCTCTCCCATGCGTCGTAGTCAGAAAAAACCAGAGACTCCACCTTTTTGTGATCTTGTCATCCGCACTTCCTTTACATTCTTTTTGTTCTTACAGGAGAAACAGAGAGTCTGTCTCTTAATCCAACAGGGCTCTTAAATGCTCGCGTTAACCCAGTGTTCTAGAATTATCCACCATCACTATCATGATCTGTGTCTCTGACGGGGACTAGTCCAGAACCCCGTAGGAGTTAGGAGTTGATGGCTGCTGTTTTGCTGAAGCTAACCCTGTGCTTGGACAGAATGACCCCTTCCCATCTGCCTGTCCTGGGAGATCTCTTTGGGGTTATCTTTGGGTTAAAGAGCTTTTTTAATGCTGGAGGGAAGCAACACATTCTTACTCCTGCTTTCTTCTCTGACAGGCTTCAGAGTGACAATAGGCTCATGGGGGAAGGTAGGGGAGGGGGGAGCGACCGGGGTCAGGGCTCCTGCATCTCACTCCCTTCCTCTGCTGCACGCTTCTCTCAGCCAGCATGGCCGGCTGGCCTCAGCCTGCTCAGCACAGGGCGGGTCAGACTGTGTCTGCTGTGGGCTGTGCAATGGGGGGTGCACGCCCGCACCTCAGCACTCCCTGCTAAGAGATGTGAATGTGTCACATCAAAGCTGCACTTTGATAACAGTCAAGTCCATGTTGCTTCTTCTTATGCCAAGTCGGGGGAGATGACCTGGTCAGTTATCGGCACAGCCAATGATCTCAAACCTCACAGGCAAGGAGACTTGAGCAGGGCCATGTGGGTGGTCAGTGGCAGGCGACAGGTGAGCACCGAGTCCCAGGTCGCTGCCTGGGCTGGACCACCAACAGGTGACTGTGCCCACCGGCTCGGGGCAGCAGGCCGCCCACCTCTCCACTGCATCTGAACCAGGGCCATGACTGGCCAAGCTGCTCTGACAAGGAGTGAGGAGAGGTTGAGTGGAGGGAGAGCAGGAAGCCCTAGCGTGTGTCTCCCGGGTCCTGTCTCGCCTTTCACGCCCTCCATGTGTCTATGAACACGGCTTGGCCAGTGTGGCCCACGCGGGCCGTGCTGCTGGGCTTGGCTGGTGAGCGTCCCGGGGGCCCACGGGAGCCCAAGACGGAAGCCAGAGGAGGAGGGAGCGGGCGACAGAGAAAAGGTGCAGGGTGCAGGGGATGAGGGGCCCATTCCTGGGCTTCTGTCTCCTTCGTTGTTTTCAAACCTTTACCGCCGGTGGGCAAAGGCCCAGCTATTGCATCACTGGGGCTTCCCACTCCCGCCCGCTGCAGCAGCTGGCACCGGAGGGGAAAGAGGACGCCCAGAGCCAGAAACCACTCGAGCCGTGCGGCGGTCTCTGCCTCTGAGCCTCCGCTGGTCGGCGCAGGGCCGGCCTCGGCAGGCTCAGTGGCCACCTTTACTGTGGGAGGCCAGGGGCCTGCTGGACAGAGGGGCAGTGGGGAGGCCCAGGCGGGGCGGGGCAGGGGTGGGCCGGCCTGGGGCGCCCCATCTTGGCCTATGGTCGGTACTTGCACACGAAGTGCTGTTTCTTGCTGCATTCACGGCTGCGCCAAGTTAAAAAATCTGTAAGAAAAATAAAAGAGCCCTTCAGTCACCCCCCGGTCTGGGCAGCGCTGCCTGGGCGTTTTGCTGGGAGCCACGGATAAGGCAGGCACTGGTCAGGGTTATGTGTCCAATCGGCTGGCGTGGGGTGCCCGGAGGTTTGGCATCAGCCGTCTGAGTGTTGTCAAGAAGGTATTTTTTGGATGTGGTTAGTTTAGCGTTTATGTCAGTGGATGTCGAGTCAAGCAGGTTGCTCTCCAGAATGAGGGCCAGTGTAGACACGGTGAGGAAAGACTGAGGTCCCCAAGATGGCAGATTCCTGCTCCAGCCTCGGAGCTCAAGGCAGGAATTTCCAGCCGCTGACCTGCCCGTGGGTTTCCACTCACCAGCCCTGCCGCTGCGTGAAGCAGTTCCTGAGGCTACATCTGTCCACATACAGCTGCAGCTGCAACCCTAAGAAGCAGCCACATCCCAACAGACGGAGGTGGTCTTTGGAGGGCTTTCGGGGGGAGAGGCCCATTTACTGCCCCTCCAAAAACCAAGGCCCTCAGAAAGGAGTCTCGTGACGCCACCGCACCTATCTGCTCCCTGTAGCACGGGTCCCAGAACGTGACATGGGCCCGTCTGGTGTGAGCATTTAAAAATAAATGTATTTAAGAAAAAAGTGAATAGATTTAAAGAAAACATTTTTCCTTAAAAATGGTTTATCATTAGTTTTTCTTCCTTTCCAAGCTTGGAGTTTGAAATGTTCTTGAAACATTTGCAAATTCCCTACATCAATGTTAAAGATCATTGACAACTTGTCCAAGTTCACGGCGGTTCTGATTTTTGTTCTTTTAATGTCCCGGTTTATTTTCTAATATGGTTAACATCCATAGTTGTAATCACCCTCAGAATTAAGAGCTCTCTGCGGATTCTGAGCAGTGTTCAGAGCGACCATCCATCCTGAGACAGGTGAGTTTGAGAACCGCCGCTTGGACAGAGCCTGCGGCGAATGGCCTTGCTTAGCTGCTGGAGTCTCTGGAGTCTTTGAACATTTGGGCAAATAAGGACAAACTCAAGAGTTCAGTCACTGGGTGCCCTGTTACAGCCACTCAGCTTTCATGGTTGTGGGGTTTCAAGAACGTATTCAGTAAATAACTGAAGAGCTGACACGCTGATATGGCAGAGGTTGATATGGCTGATATGGGCACAACTTCTAAGATTGGCCAGTGTCTGTGGCAAGGAAGGCCACTGTGCTCTAGGAAGCAGTTGCTGGTGTGAAGTAGAGCGAGGGGGAGCAGGTGTCTGACCTTGCTCTTAGGAGTCCAGGGGAGGGGCTATGATTTAGGGGTATGAGAGGGGGAGGGAAGGGACAGAGGCAGGGGGTGCATTGGGACTTACTGTTTCTGGCGCTCAGTTCAGCACAGTACTTGCTTCCACCCAGGGACCTGCTAGCCCAGGTATTGTATGAATATGTGGTCCCGTCAATCCACTCCCACCGCTGCCTCTGTGAACGACAGGAGACGTGCTCATTGCCCCGGGTCCCCTCAGGCCCTTGAAAAGGCAGTTTTCATTGTTTCACTTGGAAAAACAGAAATGGTTAAACAAGGAAAAGTAATAAAGTCACTGCATTCAACCTCAAAGAGGAAAATAGCACTAATATTTTGGCAAATTGACTTGTGGTGTCAACATTTTTATCCATCACACTATTTTTATGTACCTCAAATGTGATGATCTTTGAAATATGTATTTGACTTTGTTTCTTGCTTGGCCAACATTTTTTAAGTGGAAAGATGGTACCAAAATTGACCCAAGACATTCTCCTATTGATTGATGTTTTTTGTTCACAGTTGACAATTATTGTAAACAAATCTGCTCCAAGCACCTTTGTTCAGGAAGATGTTTCTACTTAAAATTATATTCTTAGCATAGAATTTCAGAGTACGATAATAGGTCAAAGGGCATAAATATTTTGAGAGAATTGATATATACTGCCAAAGTGCTTTGCAAAAAACAGTTCAGTTCCAGGAATTTACATCCTCATCTACTGGGCAATTTCTCCATCCTTACAAATATTATTTATTAAGACAAAGCCAAAGTTTGATAATTTGATAAGTCAAACTATATTGTTATTTTAATTCGCACTTCTTTGATAACTTTGATATACATTTTTTTAGAAAGTTTATTAGCCACTTACTTTCCTCAGTCATGAATGTCAAAAAATTAAATTACAAATGTATCTGGTGGAAATAGATGTAAATATTCATTCTACCTCTGGATGAGAGAGATCTGATTGATAGCGATACAAATACAAAAGAATGTAAAATTAATCATGTGAAATATTTGTAACCTCTAAGGAAAGTTTTAGCATGAAACTGGAAATCTGTTTGTGCTCCTTTTGTTTGTTGGGGTTAACTATCAAAACCCCACAAAGAATCTGTAAGCTGCAGATCCTACATATAGATCTCAGCAACCAAAGACCCCGTACGCCATTCCATACACGGAGGGAATGATGGAGAGTAAGACAAGGGTCCAGGGGGAGAAGGGAGGCATAACGTCAAAAACATAATTGCATGGGGCCTCTCTGGTGGCGCAAGGGGTTGAGACAACGCTGTGAAGCTGTCTGTAGCCTCTGCAGTGCGAGTTCCATCCCTAGCCGGGGAGCTACCCACATGGCACGGCAGACCTTCCCTGGCTCACCCACTGCTCCCCTCAGCAGTGTACTTGGGTCTATCGGCCTGTTCTGTTCCCTGCTCTGTCTCTGGTGAATACTTTCACCTCCCACACCGCTGGCCTGTACCTCAGTTCTCATAATCATAAATAAATCTTTAAAAAATATAACCATAACTCTTATTTAAAAATAAAAACAACACAATAGCATGTAGGAAAAAAAGCTTAGCTGAAAGTTTCCACTTGAACTCAAGACCTAACAGATATTTGATTAAATGTGGTCTCATGCCAGGGGTGTGTGTGTGTTTGATTAATAGTTTGACTCGAACATGAGTTTGAACTACATGGGTCAACTTATACATGAATTAAAAAAATGTTTTTGTAATAACTCATTCACTTGTGTAAAGGTTATCAATTATACTAGGTCTTCAAAAGGCAGTCATATTGCTACTTCTTCAGTACCGATGAGAATAGTTATACCTGTAAATAAATACAAATTTATTTTTCATATTATCTTTTCATTTTAATGTCTAATGGTAGTAATATATATGAACATATATATAAAACATCTAAAGTTTCAATGTGCTACCAAAGCTTACAGTATAATCATGTCCTTTAAAAGAATTTGTACCTGAATGTAGTTTGTTAAATTTACTGGAATTTATTTCATTTGTCTGAAATCTTGTACAGAATATATAATCATTTTCATTTGTGATGGCATGTCATAATTTAATTTTATTATAACTTTAAACAGGAGCAAATTTACTTTCAACTTATATTCCACCCTTGGCTACCCATTTCTATCATAAATATTTCCTAAACAAGAAGGGAAAAAAAAGCATTTTACATCATATAAGACAAGTTTGTATAAACTGACAAGCAGATGTTTCATCTTGTAAACGGACAATGTATTGATAAATTCAGTACTATAAATCTTTTCCCTTCCCTAATGATTTTCTTAATAACGTATTTTCCCCCAGCTTCCTTTGTTGTAAGTGCACAGCGTCTAACACCTGCAGAGCACTGGTCTGAGGAAATGGCATCCAGAAAGAAAAAAAAACATCCAGCAAATGTGTTAAGAGACTGTCCACGCTGTTGGTAAGGATTCTGGTGGGGGGATGGCTATTAGCAGGGTCAATTGTTTCATGGGATTTTCCATTGTGTGGGGGTGGTAGCCCTAAGCCCGGGGTTACTCAAGGGCTAACTGAATACGCACACACCCTATGGACTTGGAATTTTTCTAAGGTTCTGAAAAGCTGCAACTTTTGTATTCCAAGATTTGGGAGGACCTTAATTAGACAGAATGATGCCATTGGAATTGTGTGGTCCAGCACTGCTGCCTGACCTTGGAGTGCCTGACCTTGAGGGCCTGACCCTGAGGACCTGACCTTGGATGACTGACCTTGGGGAGCCTGACCTTGGGTCTTGGCCTCTGCAAGCCAGAGGCACATAACTGAAGAAAATCTGCCTCTCAGTCCCTTGTCAGTAGGCCTAGAGGCCATTTCTTGAGTGGGGCAGTCTCTAGCTTTCCCCGGCGCATCTGTGGTTCAGGTGTGAAGTTACCTGCTGTGGGTCATGCAGGCCAATCCACACAGACTTGTTTTTCTGGTAGCTGCTGATGTGCTGCGCGATGACACTGGCTTCCTTCAAATTCAGGATAGAGGCCAGGTGGGACCCACTTCCATGAGACTGACACTCGAGCTGCGGGCCGGGAGGAAGAATTGTGTCAGCTTCGTCATGTTAACAATGAGTTGAGGTTTAAAAGCACAGCCCTACCCTAAGGATTGGGTGGAACACGTGGCTTAAGTAATTCTTATTCTCTACTCAGGAATTCACTGTCCAGCTGAACGAGGCAAACACTTCGACGTAGACACTTTCTTTGATAGAGATATAATTTTGTTCTTTGGGGATTGTAGGAACTGCCTACATGATAAAGCTAAAATTAATTTGATTAAAACATACTTTGCCTGTGGGTGCTGCTGCTGTGTTCGCCTTTCATATTTTGCTGGGGATTAGATGTGGTTGCTATTTCATCATTTAGTCCTCAGGCTTGCAAACCACTTTAAAATACCAAATGCTTTTTCAGCTGTAATTTCATTTGAATTTCAAATTTGTGATGCATTCAAGCCAGATTTCCAGCTGACATTTAGGGAGTGGACAGATGATTCCTGAGGCAGAAATGGAAATAGGCTCAGAGGTTTTAAGAATTATTTTCTCCAAGTCCACAGAGCTGGTAGGGACAGAGCTGGAGTCAGGACTCAGACCTCTGCCTCTGAAAGTAGGATAAATCCCCCCGCCATTCTCTCTGTCCTCCATCAGCATCTGGGGGGTCTGGAGAACCAAGACTGCTCATCAGTGCTGACACATATTCCAGGAGTAGGTGCTGTGAGGGCTGAGCTTTGTTGTTGGTCCTTTTCCAGCAACTTCGCTGCAGTTTTTAACATTACTAAGGCTCTGAAGTGATCGTGTGGACCGCTTTTGTCTTGAGAACCTAAACTGAGCTTCTACCACATGCCACAGACATTTTGCAAGTTATCTTAATAAATCTACTCGTCACCCCCTAGGCTAAGGGTTATCCCCATTCTGCAGCAAGAAGACTGGTAAAGGGAGACGCACTAATAAAGGGTAAGTGGGAAAGTCATGATTTACATAACTAGGGCTGAGTGGCTCCAAAGTTCTCCAGGTAACCTCCTCTTCAGTTTTGCAGAATTAGTGTTGGAATCTCGGGGGACAAGTAGTACAACTGTCCTTTCAAGATTTCTTCTGCTTCCCAAAAATTGAGGAGAAAATCAGTTGCTCTCCATGAGCTCTTTTTCAGCAGAAAAAGTCTGAGAAAAACCTTTATTTAGTTTGTGTGTGTGTGTTAAAGATTTATTTTATTTCATTTTTTATTATTATTTTAATTTGGGGACTACATTTTTGCTCTCCCATATGTGCACATGGTCCCCTCATCCTTCATCAAACTACCTTACCTCTGCCTTGCCCTCTCATCTCCTCCTTACTCTCACCTCTTCCCTCTGGTAACCATTAAATTCCTTCAAGGAGTTCAAGATTTATTCCTACTGTATTTTGCCTATGAATGTTTTTTGTTATTTATATACCATAGATGAGTGAAATCACCCAATATCTTTTACTTTCTGACTTATTTCTCTTAACATAATCATCTTGAGTCCCATTCATTTTGTCCCGACGTCACTAGCTCATCCTTTTCAGAGCTGTATAATATGCCATCACATATTTATCCCACAATTTCTTTATCCATTTGTCTGTGGAAGGCCACTGAGGTTGGTTACATGACTATCCATCTCATTGCCCAGGAGAGAGTTGCCTAAAGGCAGAATTCCGTGGGTGTGCTGTTTGTTATTCTCCATGTGATCATGGAGAAGTCACTTATGCTCATACCACTTGGGAATTTTTTGTTTAAATGTCATAATCTCACACTAATTCTGGATTTTTTAAGGCCAGAGAAGACTTGCATACTCAGGAGCTATCACATGGTAGATGTTCCATCATTGCTGAATGACTTATACACAGGGATTCTGAGGCCATTCTGGGCCCAGATCAGGCCACAATTTCCACATGGTCAGTCCCTCAGTCACTTCAATCAACCAAGCACATTCCAGGGAGACAGCAGCACTCACTCCCCACACACTTCCCAGCTGTTTGGGGATCTCTTAGACGAAGCTTCAGTGAAAGAAAACCAATAAATACATTTGTGTGGTCTAGAACAATGAAAACGTCTACTTGTTTGGACTGCTTCACTTTCTCAGAGGTGACTCTGAAGCCTGGGCTTCAGTCGTGTCTACACACTGTTCTCTTTCTGGTAAAACTTGTGCAGCAATTCCATGATTCCATGATTCTTTCCATAAGTTCCTCATCATCTCAACCACTTTTGATTGATGCATTTCTGTCTTCCTTACTGACAGTGAGCCCCGTGAAGGCACGGACTATCTTTTGCTCATCCTTATGTCTTGCAGCCTAGGCTGGGGCCCCAAGCACCTGCTCCATCAGTGCTCAGGAGACTGAGTTGAAGACATAATCCTCCTCTCTCCACTTCACCAACCACGTGACTCCTCAGAATGGCAAGGAAGAACGCTTGCCTCTGAGTCAAATGAGACCTGCAGCTCTGGGTGGCCCCCTGCTTTAGAGAAGCCAGTCCACGCCCAGGTCAGATTTCTTACCTCAGCATCAGACCAAGTCCTCATCTTCCGGAAGTATCCGTAGCAATTGGACTTGTGGTAAAACCACCCAGTAGCACAGCTGGGTCTCATGATGATTTCTATGTGAGAACCAAAGGCAATGATAAGCTGAGGCAGGGGTGGGGGGGCATGGCAAAACACCCCCTCCCAAAGTCAAGCTGACAGAGCCCCCTTACAGACCTAGAACATCTTGACTGAAGGAGAGGCTGGGTGCCCTTGAGGGAGGACCCTGCTATTTTGCCAAAACTTTACACTATTCACCTTTCTCCCTGCCTTCTCCACAGGAACACTGACCTCTTATCAGGTCTGAGGGCTCCTGGGCCCTGGCCCTGAAGAGCACCTAGTTCCAGGAGACCCATGACATTGTCACTGAGTCCCCGGGGGTGGAGGAGGTGAGGGGGGTTGGGGGGTGGGGAAGGTCATGTCATCAGCAGCATTTAGCTCAGGGCTGTTTCCTACTGCACCCAGAGGCCTAATTGTGATGGACACACTGAGCCTGGCAGCATCGTCCCTAGGGACTGCAGGGATCACCCAGTGCAGGACGAGCGGATGTGGCTGGTGTGAGGCTTCACCAGGAGCGAGGGGTCTCCTTAGCCTGGGAGATGCAGGTCAGGTCAGATGATGGTTTGGTCAGAACTGGAGAAGAGGTCGGATGTGAATCAGTGCAGGGGCGGCGGGGGGAACATTTTAGGTGAGGGGGAGAGAGGGAGGGAGGGAGGCATGGAGATACAGCATGTGCCCAGAAGGAGCCAGCACTGAAGTTGGAAAGGAAAGCACGAGAGGCAGGGCCTGGAAGAGGAGCCACAAGCTCTCCCTGCTAGCAGGTGGGTTAAGGGGCCTCTTCACCGAATCTGAAGGTTTATTTACTATGCCAGTGTTTCTCCACACTCTGTCTTTGTCAACACCAAGAGAGCCGGGAGGAATGGCGGTGTGGGTGCGCGTGAACACTGGCTGTGGGCTCCAGCCCCCCGACCTGTACTCACCACCCAGGACTTGGGTGCAGGCTGCGCAGCTCAGCAGCAACAGCAGCCACGCGCTTCCGAAAGCCATCGCCTTCCCGGGTGGACAGAACCACTTCCCAAACTTGTGCTGCAAGAATCTCAGCGTCCTTGTTCGTTGTTCCTGGCAGCTTCTGGGTTTGCCTAAATCTGCAATCTGAACACATTTGCAGAGGTGAGGAGGGCTCAGGAATTTAGATGCTACATCGCCATGGAGAAAAAAGAAAATTTTGTGGTTAAACCCAGATTAAGCATTAACGCCAATCGCAGGATAATGTAGGGAGCAGGACATTGTAACTCATGAGGTTGTTTTTTTTTTTTCCACCTCACTTGCAAGGCCCGAGGGTTAGTTCCAAAGATCCAGGATACTAGGCTGAAAACTACCTGTTTACAAGAGGGAATGAAGCTGCCTGGAGGACCTGCGGACCCTGCCCTGCTATTCCTCAGACCCGCCAGCAGGGGGAGGCCAAGGCAAACTTTGGCCCAGGTGAGGCAGTCATGGGCTTTCTACAGCCAGGTGATCAAGTCAGTGCCAACAAAGGATTGTTTTATGTTACAATTAAAAATTAATATATGGTTAAATGCCCACATTTACAGTGCAGGAAACCTGAGTGCCACGGGCATGAGGCCATTTGCTTGTTGTCACACAGCTGCAACCAGATCTTCCCACCTCAGACCCTCTCTCCTTTACACGCGTGCCCTTGCTGCTTTTGATAGATTAAAGAAAAGCTCATTTGTTTGGTTAGCATTGAAAAGCTACTGATGAAGTTGAACATCTTTTATATAATGATTAGCTTTTTGAATTTCTTTTATGAATTTTTGGCTTCCAATTTTGCACCTGTTTTCAATCTGATTATCATTTTGTCTTGGGAATTTGTGAGGTTTTCTTTATTCACCATCTTTCATAGATTACTCAGACTGTTCCTCGGTTTGTACCTACTCTTGTTTCTATACATAAACTGAAATGATCATATTTATTTCCTCCCTTATAACTTGGAATTTGTCAGAAAAACTGGCCATCTCCTAAGATTAAAATATCCATGCATATTTTCTTCTATTTTCAGGTATCTAAGATGATACTTTCAGAGATAATTTCTAAAGTTATCATTTTTGTCCACTGATATTTAGTGTAAGCATTGGGATTGGGTTCAAGAATTTTTCCAAATAATTATTAAGGTGAGTAATTATTTGAATTCTCATCAGAGCACAGGTTCTAACTCTCAACATAATGCATATATATTAACAATGGAACATGATATTTGAAATGGAAACTGTCCTGGAAAATCTAAAGATTAGGTCCATATTAGGATCCGTATGAGTACTTTGACACAGTGTCTAAAGAGGGGGCTATTGGGTCTGTGATGACCTCCCATTAAATCACTGCATTAACCCTTCACTCCAAATTCCCTTCCAAAAGTAATGAAGATACTTTAAATTTCTTGAAATTCCTTTAAAACACAAATAGTAAGAACTTCTCTGTCTGAGGGAAGGGAGGAATAGCATCTTCTTGAAAAATCTATAATTTTTTTTTTTTTACATATAAGAACTAGGTTGTAGGCCAGAGGTATGGGGGGTGAGAGGATTCACCAGAGACAGAATAGGGAGCAGAACAGGCAGATCGACTGAAATACACTGCAGAAGGAAGCAGTGGGGAGACAGGAGAGATCTGCTGCTCCATATGGGTCAGCTCCCTGGCCAGGGATCGAACTCAGGCCGTAGAGGTAATTGCACTGAGACTCAACCCCTAGGCCACCAGGGAAGTCCTATAAATGAATCTTAGTGAACTGACCTTCGTTGACTGTCCACCTGTCATCTAAGCCAACCCTCATCACTAGGCTGCATGGGTCTTACTTATCAGCTTGCTTCGCCTGCAGATGTTAAAGTTCATTGAGCTGAGTGATTTTCTCAACTGCTAAATGGCAGAGCTGTGCCTTGACCCAATGCTCTTGAACACCAAAGCCAATGCTCTTTGTAAGAAGAGAGGAAACAAGCAATTCAAATCAAACAAATCAGCAACAAAAGCGTGCCTGTCATTAGCGCTAGAACAGTCATTTTCCGCCCAGCTAATAGCTGGCAGAGGAAATGGATGCTCAAAGCAAGTGCTCGCCTGGCACCTCAGGACACGTTACCTGGTTGGCAGTCTAGGCTCCGAGGAACCCTGCTTTCCTCAGCGTCCTCCAAGCCCCAGGCCAGTGTCCCGGGCTTTTATATATGGTCTTGCTTCCGAAATTATATGACCATTGTTTTAATCATAGAGCAATAATGTTATCTACAATAGGAATCCATCCATAAAAGTCTTATCTGCAGTCGAAGGGGAACTCATGAGAGATAACTTGAGAGGGTGTCTAAGTTGAGTTTTCAACGGCCAAGAACCTCTCCCCATCTGCAAACAGAATCTTTTCTCCCCATCTCATGTTATCAAAATGGACAATATCCTGTGAACTGTTATGAATCCATCTTCCTCTCCACCTCCTTACCTCTCTTCACTTTCTCTCTCTCTCTCTGCCTCTCTCTCTTCTTTTACGTCTTTGTAGTGTTGGTTTTTTGGTTTTCTTTATTTCTCTTTCCTTGCTATGGAGATGCCCCACTGGGCTCTGCAAAACCATGTGCTCTGTCCTAGTAGGAAGGACCAGCCCTTGGGGGCTCACTATTGGCTGGGGGCTGGGTGTTGGCTGGGGGCTGGGTGTTGGCTACGTGCCTTGTGCATGGGTACGAGTGTGCACAGATGTCCCCCTCTGAAGTGCCAAATCCAAGCCACGCCCTGTGCCTGGGTGTCTGCTGAGACTCCTCCAGAACGAGGCACTGACACCTTGTCGGAACACAGGGCCATTGTGTCAAAATAACTTACATTGATATTTTACAATGACAAGTTTTCACCTAACTCATCAAATGAGGTCCAAACGGAACCCCTGGGAGTGGTGTAGGACAGGTGTCACCATTTCACACCCAAGAATCTGGGTGTTGAGATTAGGAAACCTGTCTTTGTTCACAAAGCTGGTCGGTGGGAGAGTTAGACATCGAACCCAGACCTTCTGACCCCAAATTTCACTCTCTGCTGAATCGCCTCTTACTAGCATATAGTCTGTTTGGAAGCAGTAACATGAGTTCCTTTTCTGCTGTAGAAAGCAAAGGATTACAGCGTGCTGCATGGTCAGGAAACTCAGGCTCCAAATTTCAAGTCTCAAAGGGATCATGGCGGTGATGGAGTCTTAACTTTGGCAGTTCCGGTAGGAATGAGAGGGCCAGAGAAGGACCCCAACTGTCCCAGGACACAGCTGTTGGGGTGAGGCTGACATCAGAAGCCATGTTCGCTTCTCTACACTCCCGAGACGAAATGTTCTATTTTCTCTCTTGGAAGAATTCACGCTGTAAGTCCACTTAGAGCCTTACTCTCATCTATGTGGTGATTTTGACTTCCTCAAGGACGCTCTCAATGGAAACACACACATTGCTACCTCTTTATTCATAGATGGTACCTTCCTGACAAGAGAGGGTGATTAAAATTGTGATCCAAAATAAAAATAAAGCAAGTTAATTTTCTGATAGAAAATAAAAATATGGCCCCTTAACCTGTACCCCCATGTGTTCAGAAAGAGCTCATCAGGTCATGACCCGCTAGACCTACTGGCCAGCGGGCTTCTCTGTGACAACAGACATGCTCTCATCTCTGCTACCAATATGGTGGTTGCCAGTCACACGTGCCCATCAAGCTCTTGAAATATGAGAACGTTGACCTGAACACTAAATTTTAATTTTTGTCTCTTAAATTTAAATGTATGGAGCTACCTGTGGTTAGTGGCTATTATATTGGACAGGACAGGCCTATGGATTTTTGTAGAAACAGATTGATGTGAAACTAAAGAGTAATTGATCCTATGAGTGGGAAAGTTTAAAGGCAGAGAGAAGCTTTGTAAAAGTAAGTCCTGAGAATTTGAAGGAATTATGAGTTTAGGGCAAAGCTCAAATTGGATTTGACTCCAACTTAATTCTCCAAGGAGAAAGTCTCACCCAGCACACCTAGTTACATGGACGTCAGAAATCTTTGTCAGAGCTTTTGTGTGTTTTCTGGCTCCAGCTTCCCTGATTGAAGCTTGGGCGGCAGTGACCCATTTGAAGGCTTCTCCTTCAAATGATCGATGAATTCTGAGTCCAACAATGGAATTTCTCATTATGCCTTCGTTTGAGGTCACGGCTCACTCATGTCCAGCATTGGTATAAGATCAACTCAGTTGGTAACCATTTAACCAATCAGCAGTTTCTACTTGATTTATGATGCCTTTGGACATGTTTTTAAAGGCTTAATACCCTTAAGGAATTAAAGAGTACAAGAGGGAGTGGTAAAATGTGAGAAAGACCAAAGAAAGGTGTTGTAGGAGGATGTGAAAAATAAAGCTACGTAGAGCATTGGAATAAACCCTGAAGTGACAACATATGGAGAAGGTAAGCCTTAGAATTCTTTCCCACTCTAGATTAGTGGCAAACAGCACCAATTACTCATTTTATTTTTTTTAAAACTAACAAGTTCCTCCGTGTTCCCTTTGGGTGACAATTTTTACTGTCTTGGACTTCGTCCTTTCATGTTTGACAGAAATGTTGACCGTGAGCATCGTGCAAGCCTGGTAACATCCCTAATACTGCAGCAAACCCTAACAGCCGGAGCAGAAATGAGTCACCAAGGGGTGTTCATTAACTTTTACAGCCAGGGCAAAAAAAATTCTTGAGTTTATGTCAATTCAGTCAGTCTCTGTATGGGGGTCAAGTGGCTTCAACCAACCCCCCGAACCCACATAATCTGGACAATTGATTATATTCTTGGAAAACTCAGCCATCTAGAAAGCATCATCTGAGTTTCTCAAAAAGGCACAATGGAAGTTGTGCCCCAAAGATGGAGACTGAGTAAACTGTGGTTGATTGAGGCTCTTCATCCTTCAATACTTTAAACCCATGTTCCTCCCCCTGAACTTGCCCCAGCCAATCCCTCCTCTGCAATAACATTTCCTTCGTTACAGGGGAATTATTTGTATAAGCCTGTTGCCCTCAGCAGGGTGACAG